AAGATTGATTTTAACCCTGTGCCCATCAAACTGCATCATTGTCCACCTGCCCAGCAGCAATCACTGCTATTTGGTACCTTTGCAGGTAAGGTCACAAAACCACTGACTTAATCTTTCTTCTTTAAAATCTTCCCATTTACCTTCCAAGTCACAAAGAACAAAAAGTGTCTGGCTCTAGTAAAGTTGTAGACACTTGGGTTGCTAGTGTTGCCAGACACTTCTCAGCAAACAAAAACCACGCCCTGACAAGAGCAACTCTTAAAGTTATGTATCAAGCAGTGTTAAACCTTTATCTGAAAACATAATCTTGTCCAGTAACTATATCTTCACCTAGGCCTTATGTTTTCAACTTCAAGCCATGGTTTACATTTCAAAGCACAAAACCTCCAGGAAATACACTGGGCACTACATGGAGAGATAACCAGCCACGCTTAACACAGACTTCAACTCTGTTGCACAGTTGTGGAGTAGCAGCTGCCTCCGAAAGTCTGAGAAAGCATTCGAACAAAAGCTGGGAAATCCACAGGAGCACTACTGGCTATAGTTCAGAAGCCAATTCTACTTCAGCCACCAGTTTTGAAACTTTTCTCAAAGTAACCATAGATGTCAGAAGAGGGGAAAAAAAATAAAGGGAAGTAGTATTTCCAAATTATGGAATAAAAATGCAAACATTCTTAGACCAAAGTGCTTTTGTATCATAGAAGCTAATGTGCAGACAGGGAATTTAATCTGCATTTCACAACACCAACTGCAATGTTACTATGTACTTGTATTTCTACAGCCAAACCTAAATTCTAAATGGTTACAACACATAAGCTGCAAGTACCATAAATCCTTTAATCCATCTGGAGAACATACTGAGCAAAGAGCTCGAATCCAGCTGACCAAATCCTGGGTCTCTTTTTTTTTTTTTTTTTTTAAGCTTTCCCCCCCTCCCTCCCCCACCCTATCAGCTTCTATCTCCTTATTTTCTGCCACTTCTGATGCCCTGATGACAAAGTGCCAAGCCCACAGGGCATGTATTAATTCTGCCTCTAAACTGTGATGAATTAAGCAGCTTTATGTCCTATTATAATTCCATTCCACTGATGGTTCACAGGGTCAAAAATCTCAGTTCAGCACTAATCAATCTGATCCTCCAGCAAAAATCTTTCATGATCATTAACATATTTAGCAGCTGGATGTCATTCCATGCTTTCTGTTCCATTCTGAAGGTAGTTGTGGACACATACCACTCACATATTCTACACCAAAAACAAAGATGTGACTTATGAGCACTCCTGACAGTACTGTGAATGTCTTCTTGTACCCTCTCTTCAGGTATGCTGAAGTAATTTATTCTTTTCCAAATCAGGCAAATCACTCACCAGGTGGCAATATTTCCTCCCTTTCCCTCCACTGGAGTAGTCACAAAATGCTTATTGCTTGTTCGTTCCACAGTAAATCTATTTTCCTTCTTCAAAATTACAAATTCAAGGTGCATTTTCTGACAGGATTCCCTGAGCAAGAGCATTATCCTTTGAATTAAAATTAGTGCCATATAAAAATGGATCAAAACTGAACATAAACATCCATTTTCTATTGGATACAGGACATCTACCTAGGATAACCCTTTCATCAGCTAAGCTGTTATTTTTACTAAAAACATCTGTCATAACACTGTCACTTTTTTTACATTTTCCTTCTTATATGCACCTCCAAATCATTAACTGGTAGGAAAACAAAACAAGATAAAAGGATGTCAGTATTTGCATTTGTCAAGAACATTTCTGACAAACAGCTGTCAGAAACTGCAAGTAACTTCTGGATCTGCCTTACCTAAAGCATGGAATGGACAACTCCTCCAAGTCCCTTATGGGTCTACTAACCTGAATTAGAGATGCATCTAAGAAGGGAAATAAAAGAATATTTTTTTTTCTTTGCATGTGAAGTTTGCAAAGATTTTAATAGCATGTTCATTTTCAGGTTTTCGTAAACAGTGAATCCAATGTGTATTTTCTGAGTATCGACGCATGGATAGAGGTGCTGGGGTGAAGTATTTCATTTGCACTTCATGTTACTGTTGTTCCATGTATCCTAGGTTGAAATTTCAGTAGCTATCAAAGGGCTATCAAAGTTCACCGTGCTTACTGTGCACTGCCTGTATTACCCCATCCTTTCTAGAGAAAGGACAATAAATCTGTATCCCTCGGGTTCTCCCAAACACACTTAAATTTTTTTAAGGGAATTAATACTTAAAGACCCAGTAATTTTAAACACGAAGTTATTCAGGGTGAAAAAAGAAGTACTACTGCTAGACAGGGCTTGTGAGATGACAATACTGGCAAAATCAAGAGAATGGCACTAGATTAGGAGTGAGCAATTTTTAGTTGAGTGTTTTAAGACCAACTCATGTATGCACTTAATTCCAGTATTCATTCTACATCCAGCAGAAAAAACTGTTTGCTAGTGTTCAACACCTTTCTCCTTCTTCTTCTTGTTAAAGGTTCAAGCTGCACGAGCACCTACTTGAAGCCAATAATAAAAGAGACAGAACTCTAGACATGGCAATGATAGTGTTTAAAAGAGTGGATTCATTTTTCTGTTTCTAAAACTCCTTTTTGTTTCTAAAATGCTACTCAATACTGTAAATACTCGGCTTTAGGTATGTAAGGAATCAGTTTAGTAGATTTCTTTAAAAAAAAAATTGTCCCTCCTATAATTCTCAGATGAACTTAAAAAAAAACCCAAAAAAACAACAACCCAACAAATAAACCCTAACAAAAAAACCCACAAACCCATTCAAAACACTACATTTGAAACACTTTCTCACTACTAAAAGGTCAAATGGACCACTTACATTACAACAGTGCAAAGTCCCTGCTAAGTCCTACTGCACAACAGTTAACGCTGTACCCTGTATGCTGTCAGCCTCAATGACAGAAAGCTGCAGAAGAAACCCCAGCTATATACGTCCTCTTTAGCATTCAGTGCTGCAGGAATAAAAGATGCACTGAATAGACAGGCTGGCTTCAAAGCCCTGAAATGCTTACAGTCTATTCCTGCCGTTGGCTTTCCTTCCCGGAGTTGTTAGTTATGCCTTCTGTTGTTTACACTAAATATTCATTAGAAAGACGAGACATAAGCTTATTTTATTTTAATATGCCAAAAAATGAGGGAAAACATCCAGATATAGACAAAAGATGAAATTACTGGAAATTGTGGATGACTATTATGCTGAATTCAAAAAACTGGCGAGCCACCTCCTACTGGAAGGTGTGGGGGTGGGTGAGAAACAAACAAACAAACAATTACCGTTGTCCATTGAAAGGAGTTCAGTAAAAGATGCTTTAGCTGAGTCCCAGGGTTCCACTTCCTCCCCCTCCCATTGCAGGCCTTTTGCTTTGAAGGATTCTCAAGGAATCAGTGAACCACAGTTTATAGTCTGAAGCAAGTTCCAAGCATGTCATTTCCTTAAGAGGTACCTGCTTTCAGGTAAGCTGAAGCCCAATTCTCCTCTGTCACAGTTATGCAGAATAAAAAATACAGCAGAACACTGGAGCAGTAGTGCCCAGAAAAAGCCTACTGAACCTACCAGAAGGCTGCACTCATTAGGACATTAACTATAGAGTGGCTTTTCCCTGGAACATCCCTGCCCTCCTCGTGTCAGCTTACAGCTCTCCTTTCCAGGCTTGCTCAGTCAACTCCCAGAACCTTGCAGACAATTCAGTGCTTCCTGGTGCTTGAGGCACAGCAACTTTATTGAAGAGTTATATTTAAAACTAACAAATCCGAATGATGTTAGAGAAGAAAAAAAATGCAAAAAGCCTAACCTCCAATATAGCAACTACAGCAAGTCTTGATACTGCCCCAAAAAACAACGGTGCTAGGACTGGCAATCACTTTTTGCTTAATCCCTCAACTGCTTAGCCAAGCATGCATAGGATAGAAATCCTATCAGTTTTCTGTATACAATTAAAAAAAAAAAAAGAAAATAAAAAATTAGGTACTAGACTTCTGAGATTTTCAACGTGAACAACTGAAAACTAAGTACAGCTAACTTATATTCCTGTGTGCCATTATTATGACGTTGTTACTGAAACATCAGTATGCCACATATTAGCCTCTAAAAATCAGATTCAATGGTTTTCTACAAGATACACCGTAACAGAACCAAAATCAGAAAAAAACCCTCCAAACCAAGGGGGGGGGGTGGTGAGTCGGTCATTTAATAAATCTTTCTGGCTCGGCTACTCTAATTTACACAAATGCTCATATCACACGCAGCCTCCAGTATGTAATTAGCGATCCGCCTGACGCTCGGGATCAGGTGCCAAGGAGCGTGGTCAGGAAGACTTCCGAGAGCACTGGCAGGCTGCCCATGACAAAGAGGGGATCAAGAAGTTGTGACAGCCGGGCATTTTCTAAACGACTGAAGAGTGGCACAGGGAGGGAGACTCGTGGATTTCCTGTTACCTATTCCCGCTTGCACGTCCGCGCTCAAATGGCTCAGTACGTGTGTGTGTCCACGCGTGTGTGTCCATGTGTGTGTGTGTGTGTGTGTGTGCGCGCAAGGCACGGCGAACTCTGCTCGGCCACCTGCACAGCCGGTCCCGCTTGCCGTGGCCGGGGCTGGGTCCGGCCGCACTCCACGGAGCGAACTCACGCCTGGGAGAAGCCCCGTCTGCCCGGCTCCCTCCTCGGGTGTGAGCGCACACCAGGCGCGATGGGGCGCGGGGACACGGGGCAGCGCGGATGTCCCTCGCCCGCCCGGGGGGGCTCCGGTCCAGCCCAGCCCAGCCCTGCCCAGCCCCGGACCGGGCGTGGCGGCGGCAGCAGCAGCATCAGCAGCCAGGGGCGGCCTCGGCGCCAACAATCAACAGAGGCGGCCGCCCGTGCCCGTGTCTGTGCCCGTGCCCGTGCCCGTGTCCGTGCCCGTACCGCCCGGCTGCGCTCCCCCGGCAGGGGCGGCGGCGCCCACCCGCGTCCCGCCCGCCCCCCGCCGCGGCGGCGGCACTCACGCAGGCAGAGCTGGGTGACATAGGCGTAGTAGGACCAGCAGAGGATGCTGGAGATGAAGAGCACCGGCACCCAGTAGAGCAGCCGCTGGCAGCGCCGCCGCACGCCGCCCCAGGCGCCCGGCGCCCCGGCTGCCGGCGGCGGCGGTGCCGCCATCTTCCCGCACCGCATCCCGGCCGCTCGCTCCGGGGGCCCGGGCCCCGGCCGCGCTCCCCGCCGGAGCCCGCCCCGGCCCCACCCCGCGGCGCGGCCGCTCCTCCCACCGCCCGCCCGCCGCTCCCCCCGGGCCGGGCAGGGCAGGGCGGCGGGGGAAGAGCCGCCCGAGAGCCCGGAGCGTCCTCCTGGAGTCCTTCTGTCTGTGCCGGGCCGGGGGCACGGGCGAAGTTCGGGGCGGGCGGAGCGGCCCCGCCCGGCGCAGGGCGCGGCTCCGGCCTCGGGCGGCCGCCACGTGCGAGGGCGCTGGGGCGGGGAGCGCCCGATGCTCGACGCTGCTTCCCTCCTCATCCTCCTCTGAAACGGGGATGGCAGCGCTTTACACGCCCTGCAAGTGCTTTGAAACACCCGGTTACAAAAAGCGCCGCCTCGCTCGCTAGTAGCGCTTCGAGTGCTATGAACAGGCTTTGAGGGCTGCGGTGTCTTGGCGGGCAGGAGGCGGTGGGAGGCCACAGTGGCCCGGCATGGTTGGCTTGTGGCTTTTGGTGGCTGTTCGTGCAGAGAAAAGTGGCGGAAGGTTGTGCTGACTCACCCTTCCCCGAAAGGCTTTACATTACACTCACCGTAACAAAACGCTTGTGACCCATAACAGTAAACCCAGCCCGCGTTACATCATGTGCGCCCTAATCGTTGCTGAATTATCCTTGCAAATCAGAAATGTCGAGCACGGCCTGCAGTATTTCTGCAATCTGCTAGAGTCTCTCAGAGCATCAGTGGTGCAGTAGGTGGGAAGTAGCTGCTTCATTAAATTTGCTTGGACTTTGAAAAAAGCCTTGTCTAATATCAAGCAGGAGACTACGCATGAAGATAAGTAATCACTGTCTGGAAGTCATACAACTGCAACTGATTGAGAAGAAGGGCTGCAAGCGAGGAAAAAAATACTGGAGAAAATAAGAACCAATAGTAGGTGTGCTGGTGGGTTCCAGAATAGGAAATGGAGTAGCTGTAGTATGCTTGTTGAAGAGACACAAAAAAAGAAGTTGACCATATGGCTGCAGTGTTTTTATGTGAGGCAAAATCATGCACCCCTCTTTACCGTAAGATCAAACTGAGTGATTTCAGTGAGCCACAGTGAACTCAGCGAATGACCAAGACAGGATGATGCATCGAGAGGAATAATACATATCCCATGGCAGTAAATTAACTTTGCCTATTCAGGAAAAAGACTTGTATATCATTCTGAAAGGCTCAGCAAAGCCATCTCCTCAATGTATGGTTATTACAGTAGAGAAATGAACGAAACATTCCACCAAAAGATTGGAATATAATAATTTAAGAAATGATTCTGCATAATGGGGTATTATGTATTATACATTAAAAGGTAAGGATACAGTGAATGGTGCTGAAAAACTAGATTTTATATTCCTGAATTCTATATTTCTCAAAACAAGAGTAAAGGGACTGAAATCAACATGATGTACACAATAAAAGTATTTTATTTTACCTTAATTAATTGTGCAAGTCATCGCTGAGACCAGCATTTTAATAGAACATTTAAAGGATTTGACTTTACTATGTTTTAATGAAAACATCTGTGATTATTCAACATAGATTTTAAAAGCATAAGGAATAAGGTTACCGCTGCCTGAAGGCAAACCTCGTGCTCTGCTGGCAAAAGTTAAAAGAAATGAAGGCAATTTAATTCATTTGATGGCTTTTTTTCACTTATTTGGAAATACGTGACAGTGACCTCTCTCAGGTACCAAGGATAATGCATCTAGTATGCTCTGTGTTTCCAGGGAGACATGTCTGTACCTTGAGAAGTTTGCAGCTGGATGCTGTGTATGTAAGAATGAAGTAGGTTTTGCATCGTCTTAGAGGCTATGAAATGATTTCTCCTGTAAAACATTTAAAAATGCTGTATGTGACACGGGGCTTATCAACAATACATGCCAGGGAAACACAGTAAACATTAGAGAAAACTTTATAATATAGTAATTTATATTTTGGAATCATAGTTATTATAAAATATTATGCATATAGAGAGGTGGCAATTTGCCAGAAGTGTGGGAATAAAAAGATGATGTGTTGGAAAGCCCTTAAATTATATCATACAATTTCTGTTCAGAAGCTTTTCATTATCCATTCATGGAAATGGGCTTGTGTAGTTCAGCATTCTACCTTATTCATGACCACTACCACTCCCTGCTCATTGCTCAACTTTCACAGTAATCAGAATTCTCATATTTCATATGCTAGTAATTATATCAATAATTACTATAGACTATGCTTTACCATAGCTCCAAAATCATGGTTATCTGATACAAAATTAGTGAAATAAATAGGCAAACTTCACTTTAATTCAGATGGAACAAAAAAGCTTGCCTTGACTAATACTCTGAATTACCTTGGAGAATCCTTTGGTCAGAGAGCTGTAAAGAATCCCTCTCCTGTCCTTGTGTCTTTTCTCCATGGACAGGGGTTCTCTAGCTCTCCTTCATGTCCACAGTTACTTTCTATTCCTTCCATGACTCTTAGCACTCTCCAGCTGGATCATGAGAGACCTTTGCCTCTGTGCCTTCCCTCCTCTTCCTCCCTCTGTGGTATGACCTGCAGAAATTTTGGGTAACAGCAGAAAAACTCAAGAGCAAGCACATTCAAAGGAGAATTGTGTTATGGCAGAAGTAAATCCTGGGATAGTCCAAGCCATTAGGTATTAATGGAAAGGTTTCCCAAATCAATGCACTTGGGCTGTGTCTCTACAGTGAAAAAAGCGAGTTAAGGCACTTGTAAGAAGCTACTTATTACTGCTTGTATGAAATGTTCCCAAGAAAAAGAGAGAGGAAATGAAGGTGATTTTCTTGTCAAGAGCTGGGCTGAAGGAAGCTGGGGTTTGAGGAGGCAGCTTGAGTGTTTGGCAAATGGAAATAAAATGTTCTTGTCATAAGTGGTACCACTCAGGCTTTCCCCTCAGGCAAGGTATATGCAAGTTATTGCTGGTAGGTTTTTAAAAATGTGTCTCTCCTGGCATACATTTGAGCATTTCTATCATTACCACTTCTGACTATTCTCTGTACCCAGTTGTGCAAAGTGATGTTAAAGGAAGGGGTTGCCACCCATAGCTCTGTGGCCGGGCATCCTCCTCCCTGCTGGACTCCAGTGTGGGGACCCAGTGTCTCTGTCCCAGGCTGGTGAAGGTGGCTGCTGTTTCCAGCTCAACCAGCAGCTTCAATGCTCGTCTGCACAGGGCTCTCACAATTACCTACAGCCAAGTTCCTTTCTCCTCTTTGTCTGACAGGGCTGAGGGTCACTAGTGCAAACACACACGTCTCCCTCCCCTCTGCCCTCACAAGCACATGCATTGTTGCACACCCTGAAGTACAGGCATGGCCTCCCTGGTTGTCTCACAGCCCTGCCCAGATCCCAGACCTTCTTACCTGCTCCATGGTTTCAGATCACCAGCTGTCCAGCTTGGTGCTCCCTGCATTTTGACAGGTTCTTGTACAGCTCATCTTCTGAAACAAGCATCCTCCTGCTCCACATACCCTTGCCAAGTACTCTGGCTGACCAGGGCTGTCCTTGTTGTTGTCTCTGTGAGTGTTGTTTGGGTGCATTGTACATCTCTATGTTTGGCTTCCTCCCTTTGTCATTCCACTTGATAAGATCCTTGATCAGATGACATTAAAGAAGCAGGTGCTTTCTCCTTCCATATGCTCTGACAGGTAGATTTCAGCTGGGTTCAGATACAGAATGGGGAGAGAAAATTCTGCCTCTTTCTGAAGGAAGACATCTTGACACCCTTACCATGCGGTCCTAATTAAAAACTACTCCTTTGCAAGTCTAGAGGCCTCTGCTCCTCTCTGTAAACAATCTGATATGATGGAATACTTCCTTCCCCACCATGTCCTAAGTGGAGCAGCAAGAGAAGGAGGAAGAGTAGGACAGGAAAACACATACTTACTCCTGCACAAGTGCAATGCACAGAGCACCAGCTAGAAGCAGGAATACACACAGACAAGACTGACAGGCACACAGCACTCATTAGGTGAAGCAGCAGCCCTGCAGGGACGCTCCTGGGCCTTCCTGACAGTGACTGTGCTGCTTGCTTCTCTCCAGAATGTTTGGGTGTCGGACCACACTTACCACACACAGGAAAAGAAATCTCTCCACAACATTTCAGGCATAAGGTATCACCTGGGAAATGTATGCTATATCCCAGCTGGAGTTAGGGACCATCTGTGTATAGTTCCTAGCTCCTGGCTACGTGTAAACAAGCAGTTAAGTAGCCTCCCCCAGTCTCAGGCTAGCTGTCAAATGTGTTTTTTAATTGAAGGGCTAGCCCAGATGTATTCAACTTATTGCTTGGTATTTAATTATTTGCAACTATTTGGATACCCAAACCTAACAGGTGTTGCATGATTATTTTATTTCTTAAAGTTTTTATGGCAATTTTCCTGGTTCTCCACAGGAGAGGCACATTTAGCTCCTTTCCAATTTCTTCCTCAAGTTTCTTGAGATCTACCTCTGTATTGATATAATACTGTATTTGTCAGAGACTGCCTTCGGGGAAGTTTTTTCAAATCCTATTTGGGCTTATTATCCACCCACTCTTCTGTCATTTTCAGTGGTAATTTTTTCACTGCATTGTTTTTTTCCCAGATGCATTCATCTAGGAATTTTCATTCCCTTGCTGCTTTTCCCTTTATTACTTAAGGTGGGAAACACGGGAAAAAGCTAAACCAGTTCAAATCAGTACTAGTTCTCATGCAATGGAGATCTTTACAGTGCCCTAAGGCAGGTCTCTGCTTAGGCAAAAATCAAAACCCCTCCAGTAGAAAACTCTTCAAGAGCTGTATGTGAGAAACCTTATCCCATGATGTGTGCATCATTCCAGTGCTTTCTGCCCTTTGGAGTAGAAATTACGTGATTTAATGCTTGACTCCAAAAGCAGATATCTAAATTTAAAATGACCAATCTAATAACCTCCTTCTTCTTTTTTCTCCCCTCCTTCTTCCATA